GCAGTCCCGCGGGCGGCGCGTATGGAGCGCCCGGCCGCCGCCCGCAGCCGCACCGCGCCGCACCGCGCCACGCAGCGCCGCACCTGGTCCGGCAGCGAACTCGAATTAAAGGGGCCGAGAGGGGGCCAGAGCTGGCGAGATGCACCTCTCGCCGCCACCATCGAGCTGGCCACCGGGTTGGAACCCCCAATTTCCCGACCCTCTCCATGAGGAAGATACTCCATGCTTTGGGGGAGCCCAGGTTACTTACTAACCAGAACTCCCCGTGCAGAGCTCAGCTGGGTGCTGCAGGGAGAGGTGGAGGGGGCAGAAGTGAAGAAGAGCTTGAGAGGCTCTTGCCAAGATAATGAAGTAGGCAGGGAGGACTGGCTCAAAACCAGCTATCCCAGGCCCTAGGCGGGATCCAGCCCCGCAGGAGATGTGTTGCTATTATTATGAACCTGCCAGACAGGACTGCAGACCCCAGGCCCCCTCCTGGCCCTCCTCTGCTTCTGTGTCCCCTTCTCCAGCTCTGTGCCCCACCTCACTCTTACCCAGCACTGATTTGGCTTCTCAGAGCAATGCAGCAGGTGCAGGCCTGACTGAAGTGTGGCAGAAACTCACTGCTGTGTTCATCCCCACCAGGAGGAGCCACAGGAACAGCAGAACTTGCAGGGCCTGGCCTCTTGCCTCTCTGATTTCCTTCCCCCAGGACTCTGGGCAGGGAAGGCTGGGGGACATGTAGTTGCCCTTGGGAAGGCCCAACTTCTCACAAAGTGCCCTCTCACAGACCCGACAACACTAGCTGGCCCACAACTTCATCTGAACTTGGGGGATGCAGCTCCCAGTATCCTGGGATGAACAGAAGAGGATACCCTTTGCTTTTGAGAGTGTGTGTAAGGAAGCCCTTGGCTTAGTTGGGGTTGGGAGTGTTTCAGGGGACCAGACTGGTTTGCAAACTCTGAAGAAAACTTTAAGCTCTCGCTGGCTCAGTTCTGCAGGTATCTGTTAGAAGCCCAGAGACAAATACTCCCAAAAGGGGCTCCTTGAGGTGGGACACAGAACTCTGGGTTCAGATGGGCTCAGGATGTAGGAGCCCTCCCTGCTCAGAGAGCCCTCCTCTCATTGAGTACCAGGAACTCCAAGAGCTCAAAAAGGCGGGGTTCTGAGGGCTGCTGTCACCCCACAGTGGTGAAGTCTGCAGGGTGTGGTTTATTGTTGGGAGCCTACCTAGAGCTGCAAGGGGTAGCCTGAGATGCTAGTGCCTTTGGTGGGCTTAGAGGAAAACTGGTGACTCTAAGGGAGGGCTACTTTGACTTCTGGCCCCTTTACAATGGGCTGACAGTGTCTAAAGTCTGGCCTGGGTGTTTTGGAGCCTGCCAGCCCTGGACTTCATTCTCTACCAGTTGCTAGGTGAGTTAAGATGCTGTAAAAGGAGGCTAGCTGGCAAGGCAAGGTGTTAATTATATGTGGAGTTTAGCACCCAATAATCAAACAATGACTTCCTATTCTGTCACCATGTGAAGCATTCCTCAGAGCTCCTAGCCTTCAAATTGTATTTCTCTGTGTGCCCAGCCACTGGTCCTTGCTTTTCCCTTTCACTGCTTCCCACCTTCCTTCCCAGGTTTAAGCCATTCAGAAAACCACCCTCCACAACTCTGCTCTGTACACCCTCTGGAATCTTCCCCTGAGGACTCTGTTTCTCCTACCATGCTTGTGTCCACTAACATCTGTCTTACCCACATCAGAATGTATGTATTTTCATCGTCTTCTTTGTTAAAACAAAAGGTATGGATGGGGGGGGGGAAACTTCGAGGGAGCATTCATGATTGTGTTAATTGGTGGCGTGAGCTTACCATGTGTCAGATGCTATGCTATTCACCTGTCACCCAGCACAACATCAATCCTCACAGCCATGTGATGTGCCTATGTTAGTACCATTCATAGGAAAGACTACAGAGGTAGAGAGAGAGGGAGCGACCTGCCCAAGTCCTGGAAGTGGTCGCCCTAGGACCTGAATCAGGTCTTTGTGATGCCAGGGGTCTTGGGACCCCAATCCTCTACAGTGTGTGTGACAAGCACTCCTAAATTTTATTTCCCTTTGGGATTTTCCTCTGATTACTGTTATTGTCCCCTCATATGGCATGCCCCTCTCCCTCTTCCCTTTAAAGTCTGACCTAAGTGTGAATGACAATGGAAAAAAATAACCAAAGAAGGAAAAGAAACAGAAAAAGCTATGACTACAACTTCGCTCTGAGAGGTACCTCTCTGGGCACCTTAGTCGGCAGTGGCAGAAATGGGAATGAAATGGTGAGGAAGAGAGAGAACATGGGCCAATTCCCAGGGTGGACACTTGCTAGCCATAAGAACTCAGCCCTTATGGAAGGTCTGTGTCAAGCAGGAAAGCAAACTCCTTCGTGGAGTGGTAAGGGCTGTGTTGGATATAGTGGACACTCAAGTACTTTCACTGGTAAATTAAGCTGGAAGGTTTGATTTCTTACATTTCCTTTCCAGAGGTTTCCATTTCTAATTTTGGTTCCCAAAGAATTCTTGCTTGCCTCTTCATCCTTTAGGTAGAAACCCTAAACATCTTTCTTCCCTTTTGTTTGGTCTCCTGTTTGGGGAGACCAGGCTTTGCCTTCAAGGAAGGGCTGTGGGGACTACTGCAGGGAGGGACGACTGACTAGGGTCATTATAAGAAGGGTTTATGCAGATAAATATGGAATAATTATGTTAAGTGAAAGAATTATTGTATGGTTCCATTTATAACAGTCTAGAAGATGCAAAGTATTGTAATCTACAAAGCCAGAAAGCAGGTCAGTGGTTGCATGGGATAGGGGTACTGGGAAGGGCAAGAGAGATGGACTGCCAAAGGACTTCTTGGGGGTCATGGATATGTTTATTATCTTGATTGTGGTGATAGCTTCACAAATATATACCTATTTCCTAAACTTACCAAACTGTACACTTTAAGCATATGCATTTTGCTGTATATAAATTATACAGCAATAAAGTATTAAAATTGATAAAAGAAGAGAAGGATTTATAATTCTGTGTGTGCCCACCTCATCCTCATACAGGTCAGGAGAGAGGAGCTCTCAATTCCTTCACCATTTAGGAAGCCAGAGACTCCACGACTCCTTTCATTTCACCTTCCTGTCATGACCACTACCTCCTCTTGGTGCTCCCAAACCTGCTGTGTGTTGGCATGAGTCCCCTCTAGCTCATGGGTGTGTAGGGCAGGGGTGCACTTGGGATATTTGATTTAATGCCTGTAGCCAGCCTGAGGGAAAGATATCATTGTCTTTATTTCATAGAGGAAGATACTGAAGCTCAGAGAGGATCAGCCACTGCCCAGGGTAATTTAGCTGTTAAATGGTGTGGTTGGAACCAAACTCAAGATTCTGTGGCTCCACAAGTTGCCATGCTGTCCTGCCAGCTGTATGCCAGGTTTCTTGACTTAGGAATGTGAATTCAAACTACTACACCTTGAAGACCCTGAAGGCATATCCTTGTAGCCTGAGGTGGGTCCAACCTGACCAGTGGATTGCTTTAGAAGGGGATTAACTGGTCACATGTTAGCTTGGAACTGGAGGTGGTAGTACTAGGTCCTAGGCTCCAAATCTCTCTGCTGTTTCCAAAGCAGCTCTGTTAACGGCTCTTACGTTTGCACAGCCTCAGGCTAAGCAATGCTCAGCCGGGTGAAAGGAGAGGACCAAACAGAATATCTGGTTTCAGCTTTGGTATACAGAGCTAGCTGTGTGACCCAAGAATATTCACTTGACCAGTCTGTGCAGGAGTTCAAGTGTAAAATAAGAAGGACTACATTCTCTCAACCCTCTCCTTCTTTCCCACAGGGCATAAGAGAGAGGAGAGGACAGAAGGAAGGACACTAATATTCATAGCGTGTATTAAAATCTCATTTATTAGTATCAAAGAGCACATGAATGGGCTTGGAGGAGCACAAAGCCTGGTCAGAGGGACAAGTCCACTGTGAATGCCATTGCCCTGGTTATACCCTGGGGTATGCACCATCTGACATGATGAACTTCCATTCTAGCCCTCAGAAGTCTGCTACTTAATTCAGAAGTCAAGGTCTGCTCTTGTCAGGAAATAGAACATTTCTAGATTAACTCTAGCTGCTTTCAAGGGGCTCCTGAGTGGAGCCTGAGCTCCTGGTCTAAGCTGGCTGCTATGTCTCCATTCCTCTGTAATGTAAATACTGACCCAACCCAAGACTGGCTGCAGAAGCTGTGCCTCCCTCATAGGCCAGGTTGTTACGTGCCAGACACATTGCTGCCTATCCCTATGGATGAAACAGCATAGTGGTTGAAGCATAGCATGGATGCCAGCAGGTCTAGGGCCTGAATCCAACCTACCGTGCTTTGGCTGTAATTCAAGTTCCTCAGCCATGCTGGAGGGTAAGCCACTTGGAACAGACTGGTCTCATGACACAAGTTCAGCTATTAGCTACATTGTCCTCCACATGGCCTCCATCCTCTGTGGGAAGTGGGAGTTAAAGGGTCTACACTGAGCTGTTATGGCAGATACCTTCTGAGTTCTCAGATTACTTGTGATGTCAGCTGCCTGTGAGGACAGTACTCCAAACAAACTCATTCACTGTCCCCAGACTTTTCCCACTCAAGGTTCTTTCTGAGACTGGCACAATGTGTCCTTTAGACACTTTACACTGTCCAGTGGCTTCTTGATGGTTTCCATCAGTGTGGCCAGTGTGGTATTCCAGTTGCTCATAGCTATAAACTGATTTGCAGGCCAGCTGGGGTAGGAGGAAGCATGGAGCAGAGGTCACTTGATTGCTCTTTGGGCTTGGGCTCCAAGCAGCCCAGCCACTTCCCAGCTATGCCCATGACCAGCTCCCTTGCTTCTCTGCCTTCTGCCAAGGCCTCATGTGGGCTCCACTTTCCACGCTCACTTCTCTGTAATGTTCCTGGTGAT